TCTCTCTCTCTCTCTCTCTCTCTCTCTCTCTCTCTCTCTCTTTGTTTTTGTTTTTTTTTTTTATTTTCATCTTTCAAAGCATTAAGCTAAAGCATTTTGATATTTAGAAACCAAATGTTTGCAGGCTTTCATTTAATTTCAACTATGGGTGGAAAGAAGCATCAAGAGATATAAGGTTGAGGGTTATAAATATAAATAAATACAATAATAAGTTCGTCATATTACGGTTTCGGTATATTGGCCAGGCACGGTTGTTGTAGTGTTGTAGTGGTTTTTAGTTTGTATTGTGCATGTACATGTGTGTGTGCGTGTGCGTGTGCGTGTATACTCTTCTATGATTTATTTATTCATATATTTTCGATATTAATTGGCGTATAATTCTACACAAGTGCTGCAAATGCTTCTCTAAGCTAATTATGCAGAAGTTTTTCATAAACATTTTCCAAATAAATGACTATTCATCCATTTGAGAAATACATAGGTAACTACTACTAAACACAGAATGTAAGCAAGAAAATGTAATGAATTAATAACAAACACATTTATGATAGCAATGAGAAAGTTTTGCTTTTGTATAAGCGAAACGAAGAAACAAAGCTACGAACTATATACACAAATACTCGTTTGAAACTTATATTTACGCCACGGTCGTCAATCTATCCGGTTATTAAAATCGTGATATTATAATATCAAGGCCTAGTAAGAATAGTTTCTCAACTTGCAGCAGGGTTTTTCGAAGAGAAGGCGAAGGGCCGGAAGAAGGGGAGTGGTGGTGAATTGCAAATTGTAAAAGGACCAGCAAGTGACTAGTAAAGTGTAGACATTCACGCAGTTCATAGCGTCTCTCGATTTTCTCTTAACTCTTCTATGCATCTTACATAATTTTCTACCATCCTTCTGGTCTGAAGAAGTATTCTGAATCAAAAATATATATTTTATTTTGGTGAAAATTTTTATTTCATCTTTTTTCCATCGATCTTTTTAAATTCCTATCTAACTGTTTCCATATCCACCTACAAAAATAGTTAGATAGATAGATAGATAGATAGATAGATAGATAGATAGATAGATAGATGGATGGATAGCTTTCAATGTATTTTTCTTTTTTTTATGCCCGTGCAAGCAGCGAACTAGACTTTAATAGCTCCAAGAATAGCCGCGAAAAATTTTGGGACCCGCGTTCGCTTTCTATCCCAGGGTTTCCCATTTCACCTCATATAGAAATATCGAGTCCTCTCTCCAAAAATAGATTATATGTCGAATTTCCCCAAGCACAGTGTACTCCAAGTTGTCCTCTCTCTCTCTCTCTCTCTCTCTCTCTCTCTCTCTCTCTCTCTCTCTCTCACTGTCACTCTCATATATATGTATATATACATTTTCATCTAACAAATTTTTCCCATACTTTGTTTTTGAACTTGCTCCGGCGATTTGCTTTACGTGTTGTAGGTGAATCATCGTACAATCTCTGCTTGGCTTAGCTTGGCGAACAGCCTTATGGAACGCTAGTAGTCAGTATACATTGCCGAATGCATTTCGCGTTCGTCTGACTTCAATCCGCAATATTACCCTACTGCTGCTAGCACTTTCCATCTATCCATTCCTTTCTTAATGATTGTGTTCATATGCCTTAGGCATTTCGTATAATAGGGCGTGGCTTCACGTCAACATTGTAAAGCTAATCGTTAATATTTTGCAAGAAAGATGGACAAAAGTTGATGACTATAACGATGGGCAATACATTCAATATAATTCCAAGAAAATATTTTTCGTTGTTTTTTCGTTTTTCAACTATACTTCAATTTTGCAAGAGAGAGCATCCATCTAATAAGTGATGAGTTCAATCGCGTGCCATGTATACCCGTACGAACTGAAGCTTTTTTTTTTTTTTTCTATCCAAAAAAAATATATTCCCAGAGTACAATGTCAGAGAGATTGATAATCAATTGATGTGAAGGATTTTTTTCGCTCGTAAAGTTGTCTTTACTATGCGCGAGCAATGTTTTATCGAATTTGGAAATCATTCGTCTGCGAGCCTTTGCTTTGTTGAAAGGAAGTTTGAGGTATAAATTTATCAATTATTGCTATGTTTTTACTTTTTTATTATTAAATGGCTTCTGTTCGGTTTTTCGTTTTCAATCTACCTCTAGCTAGCGGCATGCGTTCCCCTTTTGTCAGCCATTAATTATGTCAATGTCAGTATACCGTACAGACAGATACGTGTTAAAAATATTTATAAAGCAATTAAAATTGTAATAATTTTTCCTTTAAATGTTGAAAAAAAGAAATCAAATAAAAATTCCTTTATTAGCCAACGAGATTTACGAAATAAAACAAATATAAGAGATTTATGGTTTCCCCCCCCCCATCACTTGTATACTTACTTATATATAGTAAAGCGTTGAAAAGCTATAAAACAATCTCGAAGAGATATAATTTTTATTTAAGAAATTTCAAAAAAATTGGTTCGTTGTTCATTTCCCTTACTATTTATGTTTATACAGATGCCCATAGCAAATCTTCAGCTACGTGTGCCTCTTCAATGGCCGCCGTATCTGCGGCAGCAGCAGCAGCTGTGGCTTCGATAGCCTCGTCTTCGGCAGCAGCCACTACAGCTACCGCTACACATTTGGCACATCATACACATCCGCATCATACACATCATTTGGCATCGCTTAGCGGTCATCATGGTCATCATCCGAATGGTAGCTTATTGGCGGCTAGTATGGGGCACACCTTGGGCTTGACGGCACCGCCAGGTTGCGCTGGTTTACGTCCACCACCAGGTCACGTGCCCGAGGGATGTCCCGTGTGCGGCCTAAAGTTAACAACCGAAGAGTGGAACTCGCATTTCCTAGCCGAACTGGACCGTTTATATAAATTAAGTTCGGGTATGGAGAGAGCCAACATTCAAGCCACCTACATGTTCGCACCACCGTGTCCAGCACAAGAGAACGCTATAAGAACGAGTCATAGCAGATGGGAGGTAAAATACCTGCAAACTGATCTATGCTCCGTCCGTCTTCACATTTAAAATTTCTCTTTGCTTGATTTTCTCTTCGTTAGACTTTTCAACGTATACGTAATAATCGTCAAAATCGGTTACGCATTAAAGTACGGAAACGAAAGTACGGCGACATGTTTTTCATGGAGAACAGTTTGTGCAGTTCGTGTCCGATTTGCAAACGCAAATACGCGTTGGAAACGGGCAAGTTGCCTAGCGATGAAGAAAATAAAATGCAAGAAGAAATCGAAACAGTAGATGTGGAGAGCTGTAACGATGATATGCCAGATTCCGGATCAGAAATGCAATCGCATCAACAGCATCATCATCAACATCCACAGCCGCAACATACTCACATGCCATCTTTTAGTGGAAGTAGTAGTCATAGCAGCGGTCATAGTAGTTCAAACGGTGCCAATTTACATAATAGCAACAGTCAACCGGGCAAACTGGATGGTATACTCTATAGAACAGCCTGTGTAATTAACAAAGAACATAACGTTAGCAGTGGGGGTGAAGATGACGTTAGCACTAATGTGCCCACCACTACCACCACCAGTGGTAGTAGTAGTAGTAGTTCAGGTGGCAGTAGTAATATAAATTGGTCGGACTCGGGTCATAGTAACAATAATACGCAGGGTCATATTAGCGGTAGGTCGCCAGTGAAAATCTAATGTGAATGAATCTCTCTCCTCAATCAGATATTTCTATATTTCCGACAGTCAAAAATGTTAGTGAGTTATCTTCTACTACCCATCATTACTATAATGCCGATTCATGTCACGAGGAACGTCAAAGCCAGCGAGATATGAACATGGACACGTGCAATAACGATAGCGATGAAGATGTCATTGTCGATGATGACGATTCAATTAAAATGTCATCGTCATACAACAACAATAAAAAACGTAAATATGAGGAATCAACCGTAGGCAGCAGTCGGTTAGTTAAACTACTTCGAATATCAAGAGAAATAAATAAATTTTACTCTCTTTTTATCGAAGAATTTCCGATAATCCCTCGCCAATAGACGATCGACCACGTTCCGAGCCTCAAGTTACAAGCACCGAAACAAGTGTAGATCATTCGCATAACAATAATAATAATAATAATAATAACAATAATAATAATAATAATAATAATAATAATAATAATAATAACAACAATAACAACAATACCAAATATACTACATTTGAGGATTTAAGAGTCAAACAGCAACAGCAACAGCAACAACATTCACCAGATCATGCGGACACGGATAGAATAGCGGCCGGCCAATCAGCTCACATATTAATGTCGGGCTTAACACAGCTGGACACAAAGGTGGGAATTAGTTCGGATTTGAAACCGGACAATGAAGAAAACAAATGTTTCATATGTAAGGTAAATTTTTTGTTTATTACTTTGGTTAGTTTTTTCCGAACCACTCGCTTCCCTCCGTCCCTCATTCTCTCACTCCCTCCCTTCCTACTACTTCCCTCATCATAATTCGCGGTCTTGCCTATCTCTTCCTAGTTCATAATTTTTTTGAATTATTTATGTTTTGTTTTGTTCATAAAAATTTCGATAAATTATTTTTTAAAAAATTTCAAATAAAATTTTTAATTTCAGTGAAATTTTATTAATTTTTTTGTGGATTTCTTCTCGTTTCTTCTTAAGACAGGTATAAAGGATCTCTCGTCAGACAGCTTCTTAAGAGGTCGCAATTTTTATTTTCATCAAAGTTGTGCTAACGTTATGAGCAGTTATCGTTTCAATAAAGATTTACAACCGCACACCTTAAAATATCCACCACCACCACCACCAGCCCAGCAGCAGCAGCCGTCATCGTCGTCATCGTCATCATCATCATCGAACTCCTCACAGTTTCCGACGTCACCATCGGATAAATTACAGCAACAGCAACAGCAACAACAACAACAACAGCAACAACAACAATCATCGATAGTAGAATCAGCGACAAATGATAATAGAAATTAAATTTCTCAATATGAGTAAAAACAATTAGCAAAAGCTTCAACCAAATTCAAATTCAAATCAAATCAAATACAAATACAAATTGAGTTTAAAGTATAAAAATAAAAGAAAATAAAAAAGAAATCAAAAAAAAAAAAAAAAACAAATTATGAGATATGTTCGCCTTAAGGTGAATCTTTTTGATACCCCATCACCACCATGCTTTAAATGAATTCACAAACTCACACAGAGAGACATATTACAATTGAGGGCGTGTCAATTGACCAGATTCAATTCAAGAGTACGAGCGCTTTCTCCTTGCGAGCCGTATTTATGAGCGGGTGGCGTTCAATTTCAACCTTGGTCTGCATCAAGTGTCACCTCTCTGTCCTAATTCTTGCGTCCAGATGGCTAGCGGGAATAACATGCGCATGCGTACTCACACACAAACGGCCAGTTCTTAATTAAATTTGTCCTTCACAGCGATTAAGACAATCGCTGAGGCTCATATGTTTTTCTTTCTTTTTTTTTTTTTGTTTTTTTTTTTAATGTGGACCAAGATTTGTATATTTCCATCGCTTTTGGGGTGCGGGGTAAAATAAAGAAATCAAAAAAAAAAAAAGAAAAAAGGAAAAAATTGAAGAGAGACAAGCCAAGAAATTAATTATTATTTTAACAAAAGAAACATTGAAGAGAAGTAAAAAAGCCCTTGTAAAATATAATTAAAACACAGCATTAAAATAAATACAATTATTATTATTACAATTATTATTACAATTATTATTATTATTATTATTTTGTTTTCTTTTTAGTCGAATCGCGTTCCCGCATTAGCCCTTTTTTTTATGTTTTCATAATAATCTAGAAAAATTTTTCTTTTAACGTGTCTAGAAATGAATAAAATAAATTTCTGTGTGTCATGTGTGCTATAAGTAAACAAAAAAAAAAAAAAAAAAAAAAGAAAGAAAATGTTAATAATAATTCAATAAATGACTAATTTTCTAGATTTTAAGCTAAAACAAAAAACAAAAAATTCACTTTAAATTAATAAAAATTCGAGAAAAACGATACAAAAAAATTACTAATAGAGAATCGTATGAGAGTTTGATTTCGCTTAGGGAATTCTACCAAAGTTCTAAATATTTAATGCGAAAACGCAAAGCGGACGGTATAGTATAATCATCACTGTTTTTTTCCTTCCTTACGTTCTTCAGCTGTTCTGAACAGAAGGCGTGTTATGCCAAATAATTATCATTATAATTAGTTTAGCCAGAGAATAAATTCTAAGGCTGACTGGCATCTAAGCCTATTGGGCATATTGAAAAATGTACCATACTTGAAATTTGGACCCACAACCATTGATCGAAACTCGTCACCTATTCGACCACTCAGACGGGCAAAGCCACATAATTAATAAATGTTTCATGCCCCATATGTTTGCGCCCTGTCTCACATATCATCCATCAATTTTAGATCAAAAGTAGTTGAAAACGCCCACAAAGTCTGCGCTTTAGATGCAGCTTTAGAATAATGTCTATACACATTAGCAGAGGTTTTCTTTTTCTATACATATTCTATTTTAGGAATTAGCTCGGAAAACGTTCCCTGGCGGCTACGATCTGTTATACGTAGAGGCGGAAGGGCCAAAAGAATAAGTATTCGCGTATTCGATGAATTTGAAAATGGAACCATGGTGGTCAATGGCGGACGGCACAGACAATTGCTCCAGTCCAGCTCAAGACCGGTGAGTCACATTAATGTGAGTCACGTATGTATGGTAAGAGCAACTGAAGCTTTAAGCGGCCGAAAGTATTGTAATCCTGTTAGATGATTTGATTGACGGATTAGTCCCTTTCATCACTTGTCACTTGTCAGAACACTTGTCCTACGGGTAACTATGTATAACTAAGCACAACACAGCCCAGGTTATGCCAATGCTGAAGAGCATCAAGAGCTTTGCAAGCAACTTCGGCAAGAGTTGCAATCTTCCTCGTCCACAATGAAGATATGCTTTGGATATCGGCTGCAGTGAAATATTTTTAGGTCCGAAAATAATCTGAAAACAACGACGAACCAACGCAGATGTGAATTTGATGCATTCCAAGTTTGGAACTGGCCAAGCATTTATATACGTTACGAGGCTTTTAAAGCTTGTATTGGAAAAAAAATTACATTTTGATACTCCATAATATCGGGTAGGGATTGATGCCCATAGAAGATGCGTTCACATTTTTCTACATTTTGTACCGCTACGGTTTATGAGTAATAATCGAAGAGACAAATTTTCCTTTCTTTTGAGAAACAGAGATGTTCTAACTTTACGTAGCACTGTAGGGATATCCTTCAACCGATTTGATCCATTTTCAATAACAATATGCGTGCAACGACTTACAGTGTTGCTGACAAATTTGAAATCACTTTTGCGGCACAGACGTACAGACGGACATGCTTAAATCGATTCAGAATTTGTGGGGCCTCTGAAGCAACCTTCTGAATGTTGCAAACGTACTGACAAAACGACTATACCCTTCATTCTTCGGTGATGGGTATGAAAAGCAAAAAAAAAATATTCAAATATTCGTTTTTCGATTTATGATTTATACCCAGCAGCGGTCTAAACTCGAATCTTATATTATGTGTCAGTAGATTTTTCATTTCTGATTTGCCAAAGAAGATAAGAAAGAAATATTTGTTATACGGGAGCTAAGACTGCTACACATGCATCGAATTATTAACTTGACTTGACTTGACTTGAGATAAGGAAAACGCAATTCGTATTCACTGTTAATGAGACGTCCTACTTAGAGTAGGAAAATTTCTTCTTTTGTTGCCAGACTGCATTTCCGATAGCACTTCGTTATCGTATAGATGGTCGCTGCCCTGTATATTTGCTAAGGTATACTATCTAATACGCTTAATACATTTGAGAACATTGAGCCGTAAATAAGTCAGTGACGACAAAAAATACTCTTTTATGATTACACATGTCTCTATCAACTGATAAATCCCATTTTATGGGTAATGAAATACTCAAGCTCTCAATTATTAGTAAACAGGGTAATCAATACTGCTTTGGGGGCTGGAGAGGTCCGCCGCTCAACTTAAGTTTAGTATCAAAAGTGCTTTAAGGCGAACGAAAGCAATTGTGTTCAGTTGACAGTGTTGTTAAGAAGTGTTGTACGATATTTTTAATGTAAACTTTTTGATTTCGAACAAAAAAGTGAAAGAATTCTGTAACAATTATCTTTTTTTTGTTTTTTTTTTTTTGTTTTTTTTTTTTTGTTTTTGTTTCTTTTGTTTTTCTCAAAGCTGACAGTAATTGCTTTTAAAAGGTTTTCTTTCTTTTTGCGTTTTTTTTTTTTTTTTTTTGTTTAAAATGTTCTCGAAATTTCTCAAGCATACAATAGCACGTCGGCGCATTTGGCGGGAAGAACAAGTTGTTAGACAATTGACATCACAACAAGTATTTGAACGTGAGCAAAAATTTGGCGCCCACAATTATCATCCGCTTCCGGTCGCTTTAACCAAAGCAAAAGGAGTTTTTGTTTGGGACGTCGAGGGTAAACGCTATTTCGATTATCTTAGCGCGTATTCAGCTGTCAATCAAGGTCATGGTCATCCGAAAATTGTGAAAGCTCTTACAGAGCAAGCCCAAAAATTGGCATTAACTTCGAGGTAAGTTCTTGTTAAGTTCTTGTTAAGTTCTTGTTATCGCGCAGACAATTGAAAATTGCGCGCATAATGAACGGACAGGGCATGTCTTATTCAGTTGAGAAGGGGAACAACAACAACAAGCGATAACCTAAATAAACATAAATTATTTTCAATGCGTATGAATTGATTAAATTTAATGCACAATTAAATTAAATTTGCAATGAATGTGAAAGCAATAACAATAAGGAATGAAAATTACGTTTACAAAAACAAACAACAACTTGCATGAGAGATAAGCGAAGAAAAAACGCATGTTTTTTACAATGCCTTTGCATTTCTATGCTATCGAGCTGGCGATCCTCGTCTCAATACTTTACTAAATTAATTCACTTGAACTTGTGTTGTTGCAATTGACGTAAGCTAATTTCATACTCCCACTACTAAACAATTTCATTAATTGCGCAAAGTAAGTAAAACTTACTGAAAATGAAAGAACTTCTTACTTACTGTGCAATCTTAACGTAACGGAATGTAATGATTTCATATGTGTTATGTCTATCCGAGCTGAAGAGCCTAAGCGAGTAACTCTTGGAAAGAGCACATACCGTCTTATTGCGGAACTATCCGCGATGGACTTTGCTTTGATCGTGGCGACAACGAGTGTTCGATTGTCGTAAGCACTTACCAATTGGACGTGCATTTAATGCGACTGCGACCGTCCCCTATCGCGTCCTAATTCTTAACTTCTTTCTCACCGTCATCGTGCTACATGGACGGAAAGCATACCTTGAGTGATTGATTGACCTTGTAATTGATGAGCCAACAGATCTTTGATCCGAGAAAAAGCAAAGTTTTCAGATAGATATATCATCGTGAACAGAACGAGTAGCATGGTATAATGATTGAATCGCATTATGCTGCCGAGTTGAGACCGCAGTAGCTTAAGTACTCCTGGCGCATTATTTATGATATATGCCATGACGTAATGAGCTGCCAAACCTTACATGAGGAAATAGTCAGGTTAGATTAAAGCGCTATCTCTCTCACATCTAGAGCAAATAAGACTTTGGACATTGGGAGGCAGTGATCGCTTGCAAAATGCCAAAGTAAAAATTTTCTAGTCTGTGCGCGTGACACTCAAAAATGTGACGATCGTTTTCTGATAACACATTAGGCTTTCTATCTCTTGGTGTAGTGATGCGGCATTTGAACATTTTTCTGCCACCAGTACTTCCTAACATAATGCGATATCATTTGTTATAACATATTTCTGAAAAACCATCCACGCTTTTTACTTTCATAAAACATGTTCTGTGGGCACTCTATCGGAAAGTAAGCACTCGTTGATAACGAACGAGAACAAAGTGGCGATAGTCGATCTAAGCCATTGCTGATTTTTTTTTTTAGTTTTCACGATGCCCATATTGCATGTCCTCGACGCATGGCACACGTAAGCTAACTGTCTGGAACAACTTGTAACGGTGATGCCGACCCCAAGCGGTTAGCATGCTCTCTCTCTATTACTCTGCACTTGGGCAGTTTACAGCCGATTAATTAATTTTGAAATTCTTATGTTCTTTTACTCAATCGAGCGTCGTATATGAACTACGCTGTACCGGATGTAGAAACGTTTAACATTTATTTTATTTTTCAGAGCCTTTTATTCAGATGTCTTGGGTGAATATGAAGATTATATAACGAGACTTTTTAATTATGATAAAGTATTGCCTATGAATACTGGTGTAGAAGGCGGTGAAACTGCCTGTAAATTAGCCCGTAAATGGGGCTATGCACAGAAAAATATACCAAGAAACCAAGCAAAAGTAAGTACGGACGGATCAAGTAAATGGAAAGTTAAAGTGTGCCCTATAATCCTTTTACGGTATTGCAGATAATTTTTGCTGAAAATAATTTCTGGGGCCGAACATTGGCTGCGATCTCTGCTTCTACTGATCCCAGCAGTTATGAGGGTTTCGGACCATTTATGCCCGGCTTTGAAATCATTAAATATAACGATCCACAAGCTTTGGAGGTACAGCAGAATATAGAATTAAGGGGTTAATCTTATAATTGGGAGATTTGCAATCCTAACAAGCAAATCAATAACTGATGGAATAACTTGATGGATTGAAATTTTCGTCACGAATTAATATTTTTGAGATTGCATTCGATATATCAAAGTCGATGGGATGATTATCGAAGATCATAAGTGATATTCAGTACAATATTTTCTTCTTTTAGAAATCATTGCAGGATAAAAATGTTTGCGCGTTTATGGTGGAACCCATACAAGGGGAAGCGGGCGTTGTAGTGCCCGATATAGGTTATTTGCAAAAGGTACGCGACTTATGCACTAAGTATAATGTCTTATGGATTGCGGACGAGGTTCAGACCGGTTTAAGTCGTACTGGTCGCATGCTAGCAGTGGATCATGAAAACGTTAAACCCGATATTTTAATATTGGGAAAGGCTTTATCGGGTGGCATGTATCCCGTATCGGCGGCACTCTGCAATGACGATATTATGCTTTGCATAAAGCCCGGCGAACACGGCTCCACCTATGGCGGTAATCCGTTGGGTTCGAAAGTGGCCATAGCCGCCTTAGAAGTCCTGCAAGAAGAAAAGCTGTCGGAAAATGCCGAGAAAATGGGAAATCTATTACGCGCAGAATTATCGAAATTGCCCAAAGACGTGATAACCGCAGTAAGAGGGAAGGGCTTGTTAAACGCTATCGTTATAAACTCTAGTAGGTTCAGAGAGCTGCTCTCGCAATCATGAAATTAATTTTTATTTTTAAAAATATATATATGTATATATATATACATATTATTTTTTTATTATATATATATATATTTTTTTTTGTCTTTTGATATAGAATACGACGCGTGGGAAGTGTGTTTGAGACTTAAAGAAAATGGTTTATTGGCCAAACCCACCCATGGTGATATTATACGTCTTGCTCCACCTTTGGTTATAAATGAAACGCAAATATTGGAGAGCGTTGACATCATTAAAAAGTCCGTAATGTCGATGTAAAAAAAAAAATAAATAAATTATTACAACAACAACAAAAAAAGAAAATACTTTAAATGCCTCTTTTTGATGACAAACGTGTGACATAAATTGACAATATGCCCGATAGACCAACGTTGTTAAACATTAAGATAAACACCCAGCTGCCGCAGCCGCCGCCCACTTATAAAAGAAATAAAAATTTTCTTTTAAAAATTGTGAAATATTTTCTGGGGAAAATATTGCAATTTTTATAGGCATTTTTTAATTAAAACTAAAACAGTTAAGTCAGCGTTTCCCAAACAGCGAGTTCGAGAATAATTGCTTTCCTTTCTTGCAATTTAGTTTCTCAACAAATGCCAAAACGCCAAGCTTGCATTCATCAAGTTTCCATTCAAAACTGATCCGCCCATAAGCAGGCATAACCTGAGACCCGAGTAACCCGATTAATTTCAAAAAAAATAGGCGATAAATAGAAACTTGCTCTCTTCTTCAAAGATATTAAACATCTTCGTTCCGATTTTTCCAGATTCGATCCACACTATATTCGTCGTCATCAACCTTTACCTCGTTCTATATTATATTGGGTAACAAGTTTGTGAAAAAGGACATGCCATAGTTCGAATTTTATCAAAAAATTTTCGATTCTCCGATTATCGAGACGTAAAGATATTAAAACGAACTTTAATTAAAAGAAAACAAATAAATAAACCAATTTAATAATACGCACATATAGTTAAAGCTTGTGTCGCCAAATAGAATTTAAGCTCTGAACTTATAAAAAGATTGTCTGTTTCATACGGGTCATACGAGAGTACACGATCGCCCAAATACTGAGCCTAACTATACGCTCATATAGAAAAACCCAATAAATTCTCATATATTGTCGTAAGTAACTTCAAAAATCGCAAGAAAGCAAACACAGCAAAAATGCATATATCCGTAGCGGAAATCGCGCTTGTTTACGGTACCAAGCGTTCGCTAGCGTTACAGTGAGATTAGCTTCGATCATTGTAACGGCATGTACTAGTCCCAGAAAATTGCATCAATAGCGATTGACTGATAGGGACTGACAGCGAAAGTTACTTTCGCTACCAAGCATAACTTTCATGCCCTTTTTTGTTGGTTTTCCCATTATGAAGGATTTATAAAGAAAAAAACTTTTTTTTTTTTAATAATTTACTTAACGCTTATACTGTTGGGTCGTTGCACAAAAAAGTTTGTACAGCGCTGGTATAGAGTTTGTGATAAGAGGGGCACTGCATAATCAAGTGGTTTAAGGTCGTTAAGCAATAAATTGGCTGACAAACGACAATTTAAACAAGAAGAACAGCAGCAGCAGCAGCAGCAGCAACAAGAGTAAAACACGAAAACGTCAAAGCTTTGCTATTGTACAAGTGTCTTATCAAAAGACGACGAAGAAGAAAACGCTCTTGCACAGAGAAAGGGGGCCAAACGAAAAAAAAAGAAAAAAAAAAAAGAAAAAAAAAGAAGCAAAATATCGCATAAAATTCTTAATAAAATTTTTAAACACTAAAATCTTATGCGAAACAAAGGGTATCCATATCCATCCAGGCTTTGCGAGAAGTCATAGTGTTAAGGTTGTATTTACATATTTAGTAACGCATTTTAACGCCACAATTCTTATTTAATTAGCTTTTTCAACAAAAAAAGAAAAAAAAAAGAAAGGAGCATAACCGGGGAAAAGTTCAAATGCTTATGCTAATAAGCTTTATGGGTGGCTAGACTACCGGCTAATGTTAAAATGCCTTTATTTGCTCCCATCTACAATCAGTGGCATTTACATCTAAGAGATTCCTTTGTTCCATTTATTAAGTAAAAAATAGGAAGAAAAAAAAAAAAAAACAAAATTTTTTTTTCCTTAGCGAAATTGTTTCCTTTTTTTTTTTTTACTCTCTTCTCTTCATTGCTTCTGTTTTTTTTTTTTTTTTAGTTTTTTTTTTGTGAAAATAAAGACATTTAAAGATTATGTAACTGTCCATGGTCAAAAGTTCATACACAAGTGCTGATAAAAACCAGCAGATTATGGTTGGCTCTTTTTTTCACTTTGCTACCCATTGACCATTATGTTCAAGATTTCATTTTGCCTTTTCCTTCTTTTCTTCTTTCTAAAGACATTTTACCGTAATTTTTTGGGAGGTTTTCTACACAATTTTTTCATTGCTTTTTTTTTTTTTTAGATGACGTGTGTTGATAAGTCTGCATAAAACTTTAGAAGAAAAGCAGCAGCGTTGTTCGAATCTAATAAAAACCGTTCAAGGCTTCCTGTTGCTAATGTTCAACATTTTTACAAAACATAAGAAATAAAAGTGTTGAAGCGTTAACGTCTTTTTTGTTTTGTTTTTTTTTTTCTTTATTTATTTAAGAATTTTTTATTATTTTAGTGATAAGATTTGTATAGAAATTTATTGCTAGTAACACAATTACCACGAGGGTGTTAAGCGTATCTTTGAAAACTTTTAAAAAGAGTCTTAAGTTAATTAGAATTTTTTTTTGTGTGTGTGTTTGTGTGTGTGTGTGTGTGTGTTTTTTACACTCTCTCGCACCAATCAAGCTACATATATAGTATGCCCGTAAATCTCTTGCTCGTTACAATAATTGATATAACATCTATTGTTATGCTTGTTCGATAATGGATTAGAAAACCATATCGATTTCATTGATTGCTATCTACAATCAATTATTTGACTATTTGTTCTGCTCGATAATCAATAAACGATTAGTAAGTAGGTCAGCAAATCATTGGCTGTGCAATCAATATACGGTCACGTTCATCAAACGTACGTAGCACAAGCCCGACTTATCTTAAACACCAGTTCAGTTTATTCAGACTTGATGACTGCCTACTAACTTTCAATATGAATGGATGTCATGTGTTATCTAGCGGTCAAGTCGAATCGAATGCATTGCATTTGGATCTTAAATAACCCTATCTATGTTATAATATTAAGGTCAATACTTTTTATTTCATCTAATTAATGTATGGAAGCGTGCCTTAAATATGCTGCTATTACACTGCTCTATCTATTAGACAATGCAGATATCATTCTAATCTTTTCCCCGCCAATGCCCTGCTTTGGTTACATTTACTTCATTTCCATTATAATTGCCAGTCATCTAAAGCCCCAACTCGAGATTTCAAGGTTTATTGATCGACTGTAGCTTTGCTTTACAGTAAACTTCTTCACATTTGTTTCGACTTTGAGTCCAATATCTCTTGTATGCTGCCACGCCTATTTATAAATGGTTTTGGGGATATTTGAAAGTAACATTGTCGACATATCGTTTGTTAGTTTAAATCTGATAAGTCGGACCATCCGTCAAGAATACATCAGCAACCAGCGAACGGAGCGACGACGAACAACACTATTGGGTGGCTGCGTATGAACTTGAGATGAATTGGGCTAAACCATTCGCGATAACTTGTCGGTCCCCGAATGTACATCCGCTGCATACTTTAAGGGTAAACGGAGCCAATGTTGAAAGTGTAGGTAGCTTGAAACGCCTTCGAGTGATTATCGATAACCAGTTATGCTTTGATCCACATACAAATTCATTGTGCTCCTACAATTATGTCATTTATAATTTATGTCCTAGAAATTTATAATTCTAGGAATATTTCAAATCCGAGGAAATTAAGGCTATTTCATAATCGTATAGTTAAATATGTATTCATGTTGGGGCGGTACGACCATATCTCATGTTATGATCTACTTTTTTTAGGTCGTTCCAGTTGGCCATCTCCTTAACCTCTACAACAGTTTCCCACAGCTGGAGCCGAAGGAGCTTCTTGGTGAGTTCGTAATACCCTTCCTCGATGTCGATGCTGTTTTTTCATTTTCATGTTAATCCCTTTTCCAATATAAAATGTTTGTTAATCTCCCGCAGGTCGGCAGGTAAAACATCATGAAACTGTTTTTAGTTTGCCCATCATCTACTTTCCATGCAGACACGTTTTCTCGAATATGCGAGTTTCGTAACAATACACGATACTGCAAATATATGGCATTGAGCCGACCAGAGAAAGAACAGTGAATAACATTCGCCGAAATGTCACTGTCGAAAGCATGCATACATACAACAATGTAAAGTAATTTCCCATGTCATGAAATGAATGAAATTTCAATGAAATCGGGATTCTCGTATTAATCGCAATCTATACGGATTTATTAACCCAAACAGATCATCATAACGATATTGTTGTATGGTATCTTTCCATCTTAATTATGAAAAGTACTCCCTGTGAACTATTTGGGGTTTGATAGACGAAATACTTTAGAAAGCAAAAGAAAAGAAACAAACTATCGTTATACTGTGAACTGGTTAGTTACACCTTAAGGTCATAGACATTGCTTTAACAGAGTGCTTTTTATATTCTTTTGCAATTTGCTGTTCTTTCGCGAAAAGAAAATAACATATCAACAAATTTGATTTAATCGTAAGCCTCATAACGTGTCTACACCGTTCACATTACAATCTCAGCTACAGCGGAATAAATAGAAAGAAAATCATGTAAATTTATGTATCAGCTTAACGCGAAGAGATTAAGGATAAAGTATAATGTGAAATGAAAAAAAAAAATTAAATTCGCTATAAGACGAATCCTGTAATACCCGCCGGTGACTGAGGTACGATTTTTATGAAAACACATAGTGAAGATCGATTCGTGCGGTTTATACGCGTATAGCGCTTTTTTTTTGCAATTAATTGCACAAACTAAAAACCATATGTTGACATAGTTCGATTTTTGGTAAAAGCTACAATGTGACCTTGAAACCGGGTGATCTTCTTAATGAAAATCTAAAAACCAATGCCCATTTAAAATTCTCAATTTTAAAGCCTGCAATCAACGATGGACTTTGCGACAACTAGACGATTTGTCGTGTTTGCTGGTTGTTTCTATTTTAACCCAACGACAGTGACTTGAAAAATTTGACGACAAATATAAGCTAAACCTTGAGGTCGTAACATATGTATATACATATATGCTATAGAGAATCCGATGTGAGATTTGACAAAAGTCATGCTCTCGTTT